GTACATGAGTCACTTTTCAGTTGCAAAACTTTGGAATTTCTCAGTTTAAAGAAATATAGTAATCAAGAACAATAATATTTTAATACAACATATTAAAAATCAAAATTAATGCCAAAAATCCATGATGAAAAACTATCAAAATATTAATTAAAGGCAGTATCCAATCCAGTACTTGCAAGATCCTGCCTCACTCGCTTTTCCCTAATCCTGGTTATAGTGAACCCTGATATTGAAGAAGAGACATATTATGTGTAAGGATTGCTCTGTATGAAGTTAATGTGTTTGCAGGGCACAATGTGTGACCTGGGTGTTACTGCATATTAGTTATCTAAACTTCTACTGGAAATAAATCAAGAAAATTCCTTTGTGTTGTATATTGAAAGCACTTATATCTGTTCTATTCTCCAGAGTAGTAATAACAAACGTGGCTACATTTTATTGAGTGCTTACTATGTGACAGTCACTCTGCTAGGCAATTTATGTAAAGCAATTATCTCTTTTAATGCTCACAGTAATCCTGTGAAGTAGGTACTGGCATTAACCCCAAGAGGAAAGTGAGAACCGGAGAGTTAAGGAGCTTGCTTGAGCTTACCCAGCTAGTAGGGGCCAACCCAAGATGAAGCTGTAACTTATCCATGCAGGGTTGGAATCTAGGTCCATATCATTTAAACTGTGCTCTATGCACCCAGGAAGATTTTGCAGGTTGGGTGAGGATCTACCACAAAACAAGTGTACAACAGAATTGCATTTCTAAGAGCTAGTCATGTGTCCTTTAAGACTAATGCATACAGTTGCAGAGATACTCCATTAGGAATCATTTCCTCCTCTGCCACGTGGCTTTCCCCAGGCACTGGCTCTGCTTTCTCTCTGGTTGTCTGGTATTTCTTGGGGGAGGAAGGGAAGGAGAGAGAACGAGAGAGGAGGGGCAATGATGGTGCTGGGGAAGGTGGCGGGGTGCTGGCGGCATTTACCGAGGCCTCATCACTAGCCCAGTACTCACACGGCTTCGTTCCGTCATCAAAAAGCCTGCGAAAGGCTGGCTAATCCTATTTTTATCAGAAAACTGAGTCCCTGAGAATGTAAATAACTTGTCCAAGTTTACAAATCCAGGCAAAAGACAGGCAAGGTCTATTTTCTTAATGACTACACCGTAGAATGGGAGAAAGAAGAACTAAATGGCGAAGTTTCAGATCAGCCCTCCAACTCCTCTTCGAGCTGCTCCTGGAGCTATCTACTGCGTCCCAAGGGCCCTGGGGTCTGCAGGCCACCACTATGATGGGCGTCCTTTTTGGTTCCAACTATAAAACCCTTACAGAGCCCTGGCTGGTTTAGTTCAGTGGTTAGAGCGTCTGCCCATGGACCAGAGAGTCCCGGGTTTGGTTCCTGCTAAGGGCACATACCTCGGTTGCAGTTTGTCCCTGGCCCTGGTTGGGGTTGTGTAGGTGGCAGCCACTCGATGTGTCTCTCACATCATCGTTTCTTTCTTTCTCTCCTCACTCTCTCCCTCCCGCTCTATCTGAAGATAAAAATGTAAAAAAAGTGTCTCAGGTGAGGATTAAAAAAAAAATCCTTACAGAATTATCCCAAGAGGGCATACTGTAAAGGTGTTGAGGGTCTGAGGATTTTATTTCTCCAGTGCTCTTTTGGAATTAAAATAACCTTACTTAGGAAGTTTCCAATTAATAGACCTGAATTGAGAGCAGGCACAAAGAAGTCCTGGTTAAACTTAACTACTTAGCACACGACATCAGCTCACAATTTTTACCTCTAAGGGTTTAGAGAACATTTCACCAACATTTTAGTGCCCAGGTATTAGAGTCTCTCTGGAAAAGGCATATCTGAACCACAGAGAAAATAAAATGGGGAGAACTAAAAATGTTTTATTAACTTCCTCTTCAGAAGAACCATAACAAATCTGCTGTATTAGCATCCGTCTCGACTACAGCAACCCTGATGAATAAGCCCTGTAAACTGCACGAGCAAACACGGGACCCGCCCAGAAACCCAGCAGCCTGCTGATCAATGTTTAACAACTGGCTTTCTGGGAGGGAGACTGTCCTGGTTCGTGGCGTGAGCCAACTTCCGTGGTGTGAAAATTCCCACCAGGGCCTATTTCTGCCCGTCGATGTGCCACCCTGGACGTGGAGTTGGGAAGAGACGCACAGGATTCGCCCTGTGAAGAGCACACTATTATTATAGCCTCCCAGGGGGGAGTGACGAGATGATCAGCTATTTCAGTCCAGGACTTAATCCTGGAGAACTGGACTAGGTGTGTGACCTTGAGCAAGTTGCCTCAGCTCTCTGGACCTTTGTTTTCTCCTCTGCAAAGGATAATGTGGCGGATCCCTTTCACCTCTACCATTTTAAAGTTCTAGAAGGCAGTGACTCTTGCTTTCTCCGACATCCAAATGCCTTTGAGCGCCTTTCCAGAAAAGCAAGTTAGCACAGTGCTGCGTCCAAAAGTGCCGCCAATTTCATCTCCTGAGCAGAAGGTTTGGAAAGAAGCGACTTCTCCCTTTTGCCTCTTTCAATGTGCAGCCAATGGGGCATCATCCATTTCTTACACTTCTTTTGCTAGATGTGAGATCCAGGAGGAATGGATGTTCCAGGGCTTGCTCGTTCTCCTGGGGGGGAATCTGCCAGTGTGATGCACGGATCCATCGCGATGTGCACTGCCTCCCCCTCGACCCTTTCAGCAGCGGGGAACGCGTCCTGATGGTATTCTACCTTCTTGTTTTTATTTTTCACTACCCTGAAGCCATTTACAAGAATGGGAACTACTCATATGAAGCAGGGTGGGGGTCGTTATTTTTCCTGGAAGGTGGCACGTCTCAGCAGAGAGAAAAGGCATGTAGCACAAGGCTGGCAGTGATCTGAGCCAGAGCCGGTTTGCCTGTTGTCACAGCCAAAGCAAAATGCCACCTCTGCCTAGAAGCCAGGGTGCCACATTCCTCTTTTGTGTCCCTGAGATGCGCCCATCATGAGGCCCTGGGCTTGTAGGTTTGGCCAGGAGGTGGCCCGGGTTCCTTGAAGGTCATCTTTCATCCCCATGATTGGGGGTGCAGGGGCGATTGCTCATAACTCTCAAAATAGGTGATTCGAGCCCCCGGATTGCATCTCAGAAGCAGGCTGTAAATGAATTTGAGGCTCGGGTTGAACACAAGAGCACCCCAGCTGCCAAGAGCAAGGCAGGGCTCAGGAAACGCCAGCGACCCAGTCGTATTCTCGTCCACGTCCCCTTCTTAACAAACCCAAATACAGTGACAGCACAAGCTCCAGAATCCCAAGGCAGGAGGTGCCAAAAACACCCCAATAACCACCCCTCCCCCCCAAAAAAAGTTTCAGTAAAATGTTCTCACTCCTAGAGGGGAAAACCTGTCCATGCCTGAAGCAGCTTGACCCGGCAAACCACCCCCTCCGAGGAGTGAACTGCAAATCTCCAGGAAAAATCCCCGCCCCCACCGCCTGCTCCCTGGGGAGGGACAGAAGGCTCCTAAAGTGACAGTTTCGCCTCCATGATCTTTAAAAGAGCAGAAGCTGGCTGCGAGGCTGCAGTGCTGCCTTGGGGGGGTATGTGGTCTGCGGCTGGGCTCCAGGCAGAGCTGCACTTGGCTCTGACGAGGAAGGAGCCTAGAATGAGAGATTGCAGAGAGGGCTTCCGAGCGCCATGGCTGAGACTCTGCCGTTTCTCGCAAGGTGAAACTTGGCAGTTTACCTTGCAAGTAAAGACCCAAATTAATTTTTTTTAAAGAAATTAAGTCAGAAACAAGTCTTCGGAAAAACTGTGAGTGTTAGGCATAAACTGATTTTGGATGATCTTTAGGTGAGAAAGGGTGGAGTTACCATCAGAAACATGTTTTTATTTATGCTTTTCAAATCCCCACTGGTGTGCACTGTGTGCGCGTGTGCGTGTATGCATGTGTGTGGATGTGTGTTGGTTAGCATGAGAGTGTGTGGCTCAATTCTCTAACCACTCTTTTTTTTTTTTTTTTAACATCTTTTCTGTGCCCAGTTCATATAGATGCCCTATAAATAACTGTATAGGTCCATCCACACCTTTTCATTTTATTTGTAAATTGTTTGGTATAAGCGGCAATGCGTAATGAAACCTGGTGAAGTTTAAAAGATTAGATTTTTTCATACTGACACTTCATAACACTGTTCATATGTCTCCAAGTGAGATTTATGAATATATGAGCAGTACTGCAAAATTATACCGCACCAGAGACTCCCTGCACCGCAGGGGTGGCAGTCTAAGTGACACAGCTTCAAGCATTTTTCACAGACAAGAAGCAAAATTTAACCCCCTTAAGGGGAAGTATGATTTCAACAGCTTGAAATGAGCTCATTTCTAGATGGTTTTTTTCTCTCATCTTCCATCATTTTTTGGTGTTAAGATTAAAACAGATTGCAGAGCCAACGTAAGGTCACTTAAGATGCCCAGAGTATAATTTGGCCATTAAAGAGAAAACCTCCTTCATTGTCCTTATCCAAGCACCCCAATAAGGAAAATGAAAGTCAACTTTGCCCTGCATTTGAAAGACTCTTAACCATGATTCTTGGAATTGTCCTTAGCAGATGAGGTCTGGATTTTTCAAAAGGTAAGTAGCAGGTGACATCAATTAGCTCAGTGGAAAAGCCCCATCTTCCTGTGCACCCAAGACAATGGCGTTAGGAAATAAACTCTCGAGGGAGTAAAATCAACCAACAAAAAAGGAGAATCAGAAGAGCAAAGGGGGATCTATGTCGGTTGATCGTATGTGAGATGTCTACCTTGGAGGAGTTTTGTTTTAGATTTCAAGTCCACACTGATCTCTTTTAGGCTGATCCGGTATCTTGTCATTTTTGTATCAATACTTGTTCATGGTCTCTATGCTCTCAAGTTCTCTGCAACCATTTTGTTTCCTCTTGGAACAGAGTGGGGTGCTTGAATGGGGCCTGTTCCCTCTCCGCTCTGTGAACGCTCTGTGACGCTGGAGAACTTTTCTCTCTTTTTCCAGCAATGGTACAACAGCTCCATGAACGTGATCTGCACCTGGTTGACGGACCGGATGGACTTACAGCTGCACATTTACCAGTTGAAAACACTAATTAGGATGGTAAAGGTAAAAGAAAAAAATTCTTCTTCTTTGCAAATAGCTTACTGAAATGCGTTTCATTGGCAAACTGCAGAACTTCCTTAACATAAAGAATATGAGTTTACATTTAAAACAAGACAATTTCCACAACAGTGTCTCATGCAAGAAAAACCTATAAAGTCATTTGCTATGCATGGTTAATTTATTACTCAGACATCAAAGGAAAATTTAAGAAAAAGGAATTTGACATTTTATCAAGGCTGCAAAAATATGTGATGTATTTGCCATGTAAAAATACCGCAGGGGTTATTGTGCCCTTGGCATTATACTTTTAAAAGCTGGCTTTTGGTACCCCTGTGCTAATCACATCAATTACCAATTTTATTTATGGTTTAATTAAATAAATTTTTGCCACAATTGATTTCATAGAAATATTTACCTCCAGCTACTTCTAAATATGTCTCGAGATCATTACCAGGATGCAAATCAATATTGTTCTCATAGTTAATTGAAGTAGTTTCTCTAACAATGCGTGCAGACAAGCCAATGTGTGCAGACAATTCAATGTAAAGCTCACAAAGGTGAGATAACATACCCTGGAAGTAGCTTTTTTCCCTGCTCTTGTGTGTGCGCCTTGGACTAATGATAATTATTGCAGCGTGAAATCTCAGTGGTTTACATGAAATAATAAGATCACAGAAGGAGGTAAATACGTTTTTGATCATTTCGGTTTCCATTTGATGCTTCTCCATGGCAGGTTTAAAAACATTTGTATGCCACAATCTCGTTCAAAGCACAAAGTCTCTTTAAAAATATTTTAACAATAAAACGTAGTTGAATTTCTATTTTTTAAACAGTTTTCTGAAAGTCCCCCCACCCCTGCTATCTCCCCACCTCACCCCCAACCCCATTTCTTAGTCTCCTTCGGATTAGCACCATTTCACTGAAGGTGCTCCTCCGTGCTGACTTAAAACCAATTACTGTTCCATTCAGTGTAATTAAGGAGAATTATTATCATCTGCATTTGATCTCGCCAAGGGCCGCCCAGTGGAGGTTACAGACAGCCCTCCACTGCAGCTCTTAGAGAGGAAATGTATGCAGTTGGACTATGGACACAACCTAATGTTTACATCTTTTTAAATGTCAGCTCCTTAAGGCAAGATCACGAGCCATTATTGTTCAACTATCTGAATTCCAGTTTCTGGATATAAATATTCTTTGGGGGAATTTCTGTTTAACCCCTACAGAATAGACATGAAAAGAAGACATTAATTATAATATTTATTTTTTTTTTCTTTATTGACTTTTAGAGATAGAGGAAGGGAGAGGAAGAGAGAGAGAGAAACATCAATGAGAGAGAATATCAACTGGCCGCCTCCTGCATGCCCCCCACTGGGGATCGTGCCCACAACCTGGGCATGTGTCCTGACCAGGAATCAAACCGGCAAGCTCTGGGTGCAGGGGTCGACGCTCAACCACTGAGCCACACCAGCCAGACTAATTTTATTTTTTTTTATTGTTTTTATCCTCACCTGAGGACATTTCCCATTTTTTGTTCAGATAGAGTGGGAGGGAGAGAGAAGAAGAGAGAGGGAGAGAGAAACATCGACGTGAAAGGGACACATCGAGTGGCTGCCACCAGCACGACCACCAGGGCCGGGGACAAACTGCAGCCGAGGTACATGCCCTTAGCGGGAACCAAACGGGGTCTCTCTGGACTGCAGGCTGATGCTCTAACCACTGAGCCAAACCGGCCAGGGCTAATTTTAATATTTTAAAATAGCTTCCCATTACTGACATCTCCAGGTGTATATTGGGAATGTTGGAATTAGCAATATTGTATTAAGAAAAAAATATATATCAGAGAGGAGGTTTATTCCTAGCCTCCTGCCAAAACAAAAACAGACATGAACCACAGGGAAGGGACACAGAAATGTCACTGCCGAAGGCGCCCCTTCACTTTTGTCAAATTGAGCCCTGCTCAACCAAAGCCTCGGTGCGGAGGGATGAGGCAGCATCCCCTCCGCCTCACTAAGTGCCTTTCCCGGGGTCTCCTTCTCCAAGGCAAACGTCCAAAGATAATTGGCTTTCTTTCCTGCCTTTACACCCACACCGTGTATTCATCCAGTCACTCATTATTCAGCAACATTTATTCATCCATCCAACATTATTGGTCGAGCCCCTACTCAGTGCAAGGTAGAGGATTTCAAAGTGACGAGGTGTCGTCCCCGGCAGCTGGAGAACGCCCTGCTCTGGAACTGCTTTCTACCTTTCTCTCCCCGTCATATTCTGGCAGCAACTAAGTTAGGCCAAGTGTCCGAAGAATAAATGACTGAAAAGTACAAAATAAATCAAGTTAACACCTGGGTATGCGGTTAGCTACATTCACTGTACCGACATTCACTCAACCTCCTAGCCTTTCCCCTCAAGGTGAAGAAACAGGTCAGGTGGCTAACAAAGAGAGCCAGCATCTTGATCCATAATTAGAATGATCTTCTAATTTAGTGTCTAAGCCAGATTACTTTTAGTGGGGGAAGGAGGTGCTATGAAAAACCAGGCCGGGACAAGGAGTATAAACTGGCAAAGTAGACCTGGAGTCATCCTGTCAATAGCCCTAGACGATTGGACTTTACGAGCTGAACCGCATTCGCTAGTTCACTCTGCAGTCATTACAACTCTAGGCCCCAAGAGGGGCTGACACTGTGACTGGTGACTCTGTGACTGCACTCGGTGGACTACAAACAACACAGAGATCCCGCCGGGAGTGGTGCCGAAGTGTGCTCGCGTTCCTCTCGTGCCCCCGAGTTTTCCACATCAATAGGAGAGCAGACAGCAGAGTCGGTAGCTGAAATGATATGCAGTGTGATGAGCAGAGTTGTAGCTAGAGAGACCTCTCTCAGTACAATTTTTTATGGAGTAGACAACAGCCAGATGCTTCTGGTCATGTTCAATTAACGCTAAGGGATTTCTAGAAAAACAGTCCGTGGGATACCTAAGGAAATTCGAGAGAAATCGCCTGCAGGAACAAAGAAGGAGTCTGTGGTACAGTAATACCACACCAGTCCTCTTGAGAAAGAGCCAGATTTCTCTCCGAGACCCTGAAGTTGTGATCGGAAGAGAGACACTCCTTTCCCAAGGAGATGAGAAATGAGTCACATGCCTGCAACATACTGATGAGGCTTTACTGCTCCACTTCCCCACAATTGCTGTGCCTAATAGGCGTCATACACCAACATACATATGTCTGTCTTGTGAGCGAGACAGACGGATATGCAGTTACGAGCTTCAAAAATGCTAAAGACCAGAATGCAACAGGGATCACAGAACACCATAATCACCTGATCCATTCTTGATATGCTAATAGCCTCCCACACGGTCTCTCCTATTCTTTTATAATAATCTAAGAGAAAGAACCAGACCCCCTCCCCAAAAGAAATCAAAAACAATTATGGAATATTTCCCTTTGTGGAGCTGAATAAACACAAGTTTATGTTCTTTGCTTTGTCTCATCGAATACAGTTTATCCTGTCACAAGTTCTCATTTTCTGTCATTCAACAGATCTGTTTTTGGTGCCAGGGAAATCTGAGCACGGTGGCTTGTCATTTGACCATGTGCAAAGTGTGACATGTAGTGGAAGGCCGGTGTTCTCACACTCACACTTGCCTTTGTCCTTTCCCTCCCCTCCCTGATCACCGCCTCTTTTCCCTCCTTAGAAAACCTACAGGGACTTCCGATTGCAAGGGGTCCTAGACTCGACCTTAAACAGCAAAACGTACGAAACCATCCGGAACCGCCTCACTGTGGAGGAAGCCACAGCATCAGTGAGCGAAGGGGGGGGCCTGCAGGGCATCAGCATGAAGGACAGCGATGAGGAAGACGAAGAAGACGATTAGAAGGCTCGGGCCTGGCGTCCTGGGGGGCGGATCCTGTACTCAATGCATGTCCTTAGTCTGTTAGTTAACCCCATTAGGGAATTTTCTGTCAACTACCATGCCCATGAGATGTTTACCAATACAATTGCCATCTTAGCTCTGTGGTATCAAGATTAGCAAATGACCTTCAAGCCCACCATTTCCTGACCCATGTCTATGTTTACAAGCAATATGGAGCACCATTCTTTAAATGCTGTTCACAGAGAATACATAGTCCAACCGCTAGGTGTGCCCCTTTCACCAGCAGAGTGAACTGATGCTTCATTGACGTGCCGTGTATGCGTTGACAGTGAATGGCTGTGAGGGCCACCAGTACTTCCACGCCGTCTCCTGTGCGTGGATGCCAGTTCTTTAGATGAGTACAGTAAATTGTTTCATCAAGACACGTAGGTCTGCTTTGTTTTGTTGAGAAACAAAAGGCAAGGCTCCAACAACCAACTTTTGGTTCTCTCTGTTCCCCTAAAACTAAAAAATGAACCCCTGGTGTCCTTGTCAACCCATCCTTTCATTTATCCTTCTAGTTAGCCAAAACAGATGGCTACATACCAATGGACGATCCTCTTCATTGCCACGGCAAGCGTGAGCGGTCACGACTTAACATGAAGCACAGTTCAGAGCAACTGTCTTCTGTCCAAGTTTCTCCTGTTACATGTTACATTTTGCTTTTATGTTTCCATAACCGTGTATGTAAAAAAAAACTGAATATTTAAATTACAACCCTAGACTATAAATGTGTTTATAATAAGATATGGGCATCTCCTTCAGTAGACTGTAACCATAATTTAATGATTTTGGTCCCCACTGTTTTTATATCTGTCATGTACATCGCATTTTGATCTGTAACTGCACGACCCTGGGGTCCTCTGCAGACCTCTTTCTTTCTGTGTAAACTAGTGGATCCATCCTGCTTTTGCCTTATATAAAGCCTACAGTTATGAAAGTGTGAAAAACTGTGGCTTCTCAATAAATAACTATTCAAATGTCCAAAGAATACACTTTTGAGTCTTTTTTCCCTCTGTCTCCTGTGGAAGTCAGAACTGAATCGCAGGAAGCGGGAAGAGATGGAGGGAGGGAGGGAGGAGTCGTGTTCCTACGCTGCTCCTGCCACCCCCGAGCGGGTGCTTCCCTGAGCTCGTCTTCACGAGGGCCAGCCTGAAACTCCGTGAATTCAGACTCCGCTCATTCAGAATCCGCGGGCGTTTGGACATGTTGGGCAGATTACATTGCATTATAGGATAAATAAGGGTTTGCTAAGCAAGGGAGTAGTGTAAACGAGAGAAATGTTTCTCCTGTATGAAGAGAAGGCCAACAAACTGTTTTTAAGCACCACTTTAACAGCAGTGTTTGCATTCAAACAAAGCGTGTGCCAATTATATATGATTCTTATATATTTGTTAAAGCATTTTACAAGATTCTCTGAGATGTGAGACTCCTCTCGTTCCCCAGTCCTTAGCAGCGGTAGAATCACCTGGGTTTGAAGAAAGCAAACACGGTGTTGCCGGATGTTTTATCAGTGGCTGTTCCTCAGGCAGGCTGACCTTTCGGGGGCTGACTGAGACTTAGGAGGAGCGACTGCTTCTCCAAGGGGACCAGGTAGTGTGCTCACCACGTGCTCTCTACAAGTCAGTCCCTCTACATGGCGCGTCCCACTCTGTCATCCCCAGGTCGGCAGGTGCAAGTGGCCAGTGCTTCCCGCCCTTCGTGGGATTACAGTAACAACTCTCGTTTATTGAGCAGCTCTTCCGGGCAGGCATTCTGCATCTATTACCTCATTTAAATTTCACAACCAACCTTAAGAGGAGAGGACTTGGATTATCCCGATTGGAAATGAGGAAACTGAAGTCAGGAAATTTCACGTAACTTGCGCAGCCATGACACAGCTCCCTGTAGAAACATGAATCCAGAGATCCCAGCATAGGAAAAATCTTTGCTCAGTGGCACCAAAATCAGTGTGGCAGAATTTTTATAAATTTATTTGTATTAATCATGGCCTGAGTTGCAAATTAAAGCATCTTTTCTGCAACAATCACAAACAATTTAAAAGCGTGCAAAGTAAAAAAGGAACATCTGCCCAGTGTATAAAAGTTGAAAAACGAAAAAAAATGCTCAGGAACTCTGGAAGTGAGCTAATTGAATGAGTCAGATAACTAACAGAAAGACATGATCCAAAAGGCATAAAGAGAAGCAAGTCATAAGACTGTCTCCAAAACCAAGGTTTAAAAAAAGTCCTTTAAAAGAGACTTCTCTGCAGCCTAACAGTGAGGGTCCAGCTGAGTGGGGGCCCCAGAGACGCCACCCTGGAAGGAGGGCTATGGAGATGAAGTGACATCAGAAGAGATCAGAGAGAAAGAACTGGCCAAGGTCAAGTCTAGGTTATCCTTGAAACACTCAAAGCTGACGAGACAGTTTTAGTTCTTGATTTTTCTTTTTTATTCCTTTGGGACAAAATCTTAAGTTTTCTGTTCTTTCTTTTTATTATTTTTTTTTATTAAACTGTGATTTACATAAAGAAGAGTGCACAAATCCTAAGTGTACAGCTCAATGATTTATCACAAATAGAACACACTCACCAAACAAGCACCAGGTCAAGAAACAGAACATAGTGAACACGCCCACACGCCCAGGCCCAGGCCCTTTCCCGGCCCCTCGCCCTCCTCACTCCAGAGGCAACCACCATCTGGATTTCTGATAGTATCCATTGAATTAACCCTACATAATTAGAATCACAGTTTATATTCTCTAAGGTCTGGATCCTTTTTGCTCTACATTAGATTGTTGGCGTGGTTGTGGTTCATTTCTTTTCGTTACTCTATAGTATTCCCAAGTATGACAATACCACAAGTCTTATTTATCCATGTAAAAATGTGTTTTTGGTCCAGCCGGTGTGGCTCAGTGGTGAGCATCGACCCGTGCATCAAGAGGTCGCTGGTCCGATTCCCGGCCAGGACACATGCCCAGGTTCTGAGCCCGACCCCCAGTGGGGGACATGCGGGAGGCGGCCACTCGATGTTCTTTCTCATCGATGTTTCTATCTCTCTCTCCTCTCCCTTCCTCTCTCTCTAAAATCAATAAAGGAAAAAAAAATTTTTTTTAATTATAAAAATGTGTTGTTGTTTTTTAGTTTTGGGCTATTATGAATAATGCTGCCATGAATTTCCTTGTACATGTCTTTTGATGTAGTTGCTGAGCGATAGGGTAAAGGAATGCTCATTTCTAGTTTTCCATAGAGGTGAACAGAGTTAGACTCTCACCAGCAGAGCTGCAAAGTCCTGACAACACACTTGCTCTCATTGTTTATCAGTCTGTTAAGTGGTGTAATGGTGAGTAATTGTCATTCACTGATAACAAAAATGGAGTTGATTGCTTTTTAACACATATATTAACAATTTGGGTAGTCTCTCTTGGGAAGTTCATGTTTCTTTTTCCTTTTTTTTTTTTTTTTGAGAGAGAGAGGGTGAAAGAGAGAGAGAAACATCGATCGGTTTTCTTTTGTAAGAGCCCCAAATGGGGATCGAACCCACAGTGGTTTGGTGCATGGGATGACACTCCAACCAACTGAGCCACACTGGCCAGAGCTGCCCTTTCTTTAAGAGGGAAATGATAGAGCTGTGTGAGGACTGCTGCAAAGAGGCCGCAGAACGGTGCTGGGTGGACAGGAGACACAGGGCTGTCGAGGGAAATGGGAGCCCCACAGACAGCATCCTGAGTTGATGACAGTGCACAGCAGCTGAGCACGTGCTGACCGGCGCTGCTGGAAATAGCCAGGCTCTCTCCAGCCCGTTCTCTGTCACCAGCCACAGGATCTTTCTAAAAGGCAAGTGTGACCTGTCCCTCCTCCAGCTGCAAGTATCCAGTGGCTCCCCTTGCTCACAGAAGGAAGCCAAAGTAAGGTGGTGTCCACACCACACACGAAGTGATTCCCACCATCCCTCCAGCTCCCTCTGTGAATCCTGCCCATCTGGCTCTAGGCTTCTGCACCCTCCACATCTTTCACTTGCTCTCGTGCACCATGTTCTTCCCACCTGGGACCCACCCCCGAGCACCTCATCACACTTCAAATCCAGCTAAATTTGACATCCCCAGGGAAGCCTTTCCAAACCTCACCCTAAAGTCAGGGTTCATTTCCCTGGTGTGTATCGTCCTAACAGTCCACTTCTCCTTCATCGTGTTCATCCCACCTTCATGCTTGGGTCATTTGCGTCACTGCCTGCTTCATGCAGCATTTCTCCCGTTCAGGGGGATACGGCCTGTCCCAGCTTCCCTTCTCTATCTTTATTGTATGTGCTAAATATATGATTAATAAGTGAAGGCTAAACGTATAAAAATGTAAATGATCTTATTACTATCCTCTTAGAACCTTTAGTCTAGGTAATATGAACCTTCAAAAGATTCAACTAGGTTAAATACTATAAGATTCAGAGGAGGGAGAAGGAAGGAGGGCTTCCTGGAGGAGGTGGGCCTTAAAGAACACAGAGAGAGGACAGGAAAAGACATAAGCTGAAGCAGAGAGGTAAGGGGATGCGCCACTTGGCTGAAGTTGTTTTCTTCTCTGGTGCATTCCTAGTTCACCTAGTAAACACTCAACAGATATGTGTTGGCTTAAGACATTGAAGAAGATGCTCAGCATGTTGGGAGTCTTCATGGAGGATTCATGCAGGAAGGGGAGAGACCGGGATGGGAAAGGTGGATGAAGGTTTGGGAGGAGGACCTTTAGTTCCACTTAGTTTGTGTTTGTCTGTCTGAATAACAGAGCTAACCAGTATTTTTATTTTTTCAAAATATTTAAAGACATTTTTTAAGTTTAAAAAATCAAATAGAGAAGAATTATATGAAACAAAAAGCCTCTTCCTTCCCCAACCCATTTCCCCAAAGTAGCCATTGCTAACAGATGGGCACATATTCTCCTACATATGTTCACATCACACGAGTATATTGGATATATATATCCACCATCCAATATCCAGTTGGATATACTTATATATTTTATGTATTTATATTTTTTAATGTATTTTCACAAATGGGATTCATCCTCAGCCCACTAAGGCAAATCATATTTTTCATTTATCAGTGTAAAATCATTTTCATGTTGGCACATACAGATTTTCCATATCACTTCTAATGATTGTGTTATATTTGAGGACATATTCTGGTCAAAGAAGAAACAAGAACAAAGTAAGGTAAATTGAAAATCCAGGATGACATGTAGGATGGATTAAAACACAGCGGAGTGCATGAGCAGCTGCGGAAGTGACCCAAGGGACTGTTTGAAATGTGTGACTGAAGAATTTCAGCCTCCGTCTGACTGCACTGCATCATAATGATCTGTTTCCGCATCTGTCTTCCCGCAGACTGCCAGCTCCTTGAGGTCAGGGACTGTGTACCCACTGTGTATGCCGATCTGATGCCTGGGGTGGTGGGCACTCGGTAGATGTTGGTTGAATCGAATGGGTGGACATCAGAGAGGGACACCTGAGTATGATGAAGACCAAGAAAGCTAAACTAAATATATTTCAATAAACCCTATCAATAAAGAAACAATCACTAAATGAGGTGAAGAATCTTAATAGCTTTAGGAAAACTATCCTCCTCACCACTAGCATGACCTGAGTTTCCAGTGCAGGTGTGAACAGTCATGCCATCATAAATTTCGATTTCTATGAGAATTTTAGGAAATCAACCAACCAACGAGGGTTATATCATTATTGTTTCGGCATATATTTTAATAAGTTCATTTTACTTAAATTTTAAACTCCAAAATAAGTGTGCTCCTCATGGCCAATTTCCGTCAGCACATGATTAAGAAATCTGAAATAAAATCACATTATGCACAATGCTGTAATTCTTGGTAAACAAATTTTTAAAAATTAATATTCATTTTTTATTCGAGATTGTTTTGCTTCTTTATCTAAATACTAAAACTATCATCTGTTTTCCCTCTCGTGAAAGCGTGCATTTCATCTGAAGCTGTGAATCTGCGCTGGTGGTAACCGAGC